CGAGATGTCGTGGCGTGTTTTGATTGGCTACGCACGTTATTTTTACGTGCGTAGTACTGATGTAATATTTCTTCCATAAAGTGAGGGGTTAATGAGGCGGCATAGGTCTCTCCTGTAATCTCGTAACTTGTAATTTATTTGTACTGATCAAATTACAGATAGTTTATAAAAAGATTACAGGAGTTACAGAAGGGTATAACCCCGATATAACTTTCCTGTACCCTCTGAATAATCCTGGACGTACGCATCGCTCCATACGTCTTACGTACGCAAATATTTTCCCCGTCATGGAGGATGTCGCAGACCTAGATGGCAAACCCTGTCCACAGGGAAAAATTTGCAAGTAACACAGTGAGATGCGTGCGATACCGAATCGGAAGACTCCGCTTGCGGTCCCACTAATAAAATAAATTGAATTAATGAGTGTGACCCCTAAACCGGCAAGTGATGTAACGCGTTTGTAATATAATGTGTAACTCCGATATACCCTACCTTTAAATACCGCAGTCGGTCTGCATTAATGCGATTGTAACCGCGTTATACTAGTCCTGTACCTTCCACGATAAACTCCCATGTAACGCGTCTGTAACTGTGTTATACTAGCCCTATACCTTCCGCGGTAAACTCGCATGTAATGTGCTTGTAACCGCGCTATACTAGCTCTATACTTTCCGTGGTAAACTCCCATGTAATGTGTTTGTAACCGCATTATACTCAAGTTATACCTTCCACGATAAAGACATACGTAACGCGATAGTAATTTTTTTGTAACCCGATTGTAAGTTTTTCTCTATACCGCACGCGTATCTTGACTGAAACTTCTATTTAACGTGGAACCGCGGTTATAATCCTTTTGTAATCTTTTAATTACGAATTGTAACATTTTTATAACCTTCAAAAATTGTGTTTTATAACCTTGGTAAAAGGTAGAAACCAGACAGTGGCTTTTCATTTTTTAAAACAGGAATTCACGTGTGCTAAGGTTCTCCTTTGTCGTCTTCCTTTTGAAGGTTAGGGCAACAGAGTGTGGATTGCTTTGGCGAAGGAACACTAAAATGGAAGAGGACATCGCCAAGACCATGAAAACGAATTTGGTAGAGGTCAATGTCGCGGACTTGGGAAAGGCTCAGAAACCTGAATGCGAGGAGGCACCGCAAATGGTCAAGGGAGGTCGTAAGGAGAGAAAAGAATCAAAGAAGAAGGATAATGAATCTATGTATTTTTCGGGTTTCATTTTGATTCCCTAAAGCTTGGTTATGTTTTATGGTTATGTTTTAGGTTTTTTAGGTTTTATTTTTAAATTCATCCTTTTATCATCATTTGGATTTTAATTTGATCTTAAACTATTATGATATATTATTGTAGGTTTTTTAGCACAAAGTCAATGAACTGCAAGTGTCTTCCATCTGCAGTACAAGAAGTCTTCGATAAGGTTCGACCATCAGTAGACGAGGAAACATGGAATAAATTGGAAGCCATGAGTTTAGCTCAGTTTTTTTAACCCCCTCTACACCCTCAAGATCATATTTTGACAATGCACATAATAAATTATTGGAATATTGATCGAATGACATTCAACTTCGGAGGAAAAGAGCTTAAATTTTATGCAGACGAAGTTGCAATCCTGATTGACATGCCAAATAGAGGTTTACCTGCATACTGGAGTAATTCCCCGCCAACTAGTATGGATGTGAGACAATTAAAGACCGCACTGCTGAACTATTCACCAGGAGAGTCCTTGAATAACCTTTTGTAATTATTAATAAAATTTTTAATGTCAAATTTAATTTTTCCTTCAAGTAACTTCAAAATGTCGAAAGAGTTGTCATTTATCCGTGAGGATGTAGAATCATTTACAACTTATAACTGGTCAGCAACTGTATGTAATTTTCTAATCGAGCAACTGAATATCTGTGTCACGAAAATAAAGAAAGATCAGTCGTTAGGATACATTACTGGTTTTGTATTCTTTCTAACGGTTTGTGTTATTCATATAAGTTATAAAAATTAATATTAATATAATTAACATCATTTATTAATTAATTGCAGTAAATTATTGTATCATGTTTCATGCAGCTGTGGTTTTATGAGCATACCTCCTTAGTCCTCCCAACAGTGCCTGAGATTAGGCCAAGAATGTTGAGGTGGCCAGTTAACATAAAGTGAAATTTGGTTAAGATACAACTAGCCTTTAAGAGGCTGATAGCCACCGAGGTGATTAGCCAATGTTCTTTATAGCATCTCTAGTAAGGGTAAAGAATATTATTGTTCCTATTTGGCACAACACAATTTGCATACTTCTACAACAGAATTCCTATAATTATTATTGATTCATGATAAGAAGAAAGATATTTTCATATTAAGTACTTTTCTTCTACAAAAACTTTAGTTATCTTTTTACGTTGTTACTGTTTCGTTAAAATATAAAAAATATTTAAATTTTAAATTCCTACAAAAATCGTTTTTAGTTTAAGTA